ACCAATTTTACTAGTCGCTAATAAATTAGATTTAGATTGCCAAAGAGAAGTGTCAACTGCCGAAGGTATGCATTAAAAAAAAAGAGAAGCATTTACAATTCTCTCAATTAAGTTTATCTACATTTTATTTTTAGGCAATGCACTTGCACAACTATGGGAATGTCCGTTCATTGAAGCCTCTGCGAAAGATCGTATTAATGTAAACGAAGTATTTGCAACAATAGTACGTGAGATGAATATGACCCAAGATAAACGGCAGAAAAAAAGTTATTGTTGTTGTGCTCTTTTATAGAACGATTTTTGATAATTATTTCTTATTATATACATACATAAAAAACAAAAAAAAAAACAAAAAAACAATAATATACACTATATATATATACATATATATATATATATATATATATATGAACGGATAATGCAAGAATTATAATATAATACCTAAAGTTTACTACTTCAAATAATAAAATAATAAGAACCACAATAAAGATAATAATGATAAACGTGAGAATAACTGATATATACATACATTTAGAATTAAATATAATAAAAATGAAAAATTAAAACAAACAAAACAGACGGAAGAAGATATACATACAGTAATTAAATGAATGTATGTATTACAAGGAATAATGTGTAAAAGAAATTAGAAAGGCAACGTAATTGGGTCGATGTTAGGCAAAGAAATGCAGGAGTATCATCAAGATTATCGATCACAATTATAAAAGCGTTCAATAACAATTTATTTTTATTTTTTTTTTTTTAGCGTTAAACAAAAAGAATAAAAGAAAAGGAAAGAATGTATGTGTGTATTTTGTGTATGCCAATTTTATATAGAGTATATTAGAAAACAAAAGAAAAATAATAAAAAATAAAATTTAAGAAATTAAAAGAAAAATAATAAAAAATAAAATAAAAACCTAAAAAAAGTAGAACTTAAAAGTAAAAATAAAAAATCCTTAGCAATACAACTTAATTTTCTCTGTCTAACATAAAATTGTCAAAACATACGTTAATCTATTTAAAAGAAAAAATTTCCGTTTGATTTGTGGCAATGTTTTAGTATTCGCTTTCATTTCATTATGTCCATTGATTGGAATGCAAAAAAAAAAAAAAATAAAAAATTAGTAGAACAACACATATGAACACAAACTATTATAAAATAGCACAAATATTCATCTCTTTTTTTTTTTCAATGTTATTGCAGAGAATTCGAATTTTTCAGTGTACGGTCATAGTATTTTTTTTAAGTATTTTAATTTGTTGTTTTATTTAAATAATTTTAACAGAATAATTTTTCTTAAAAAAGGAACTAAATTAAATATTATTTAAAAAAAAAAAAAGCGAAAGATTTAAAACAATAAATGTTTCATACACTTAAGTAGATGTGGACGACAAATGGCTTCATTAAGGAAACATCAATTACTAAAGATTAGACGCATTCTAGGCGAGATAATAGGAATTTCACATATTTACATAAATATTCTTACATGTAAGATGCGTTGGAACTTTTTATTATTTTTTTTTTATTACCACGACTGATCCCTCTTGCCATTTTCATTGCCTTTCTCTTTTGGATTTTCGTTTTATTTACTGATTTTTTTTTTTTTTGTTGTGTGTAGATGTCCATAGAAGCACAAATCGGTTTTAAAAAAAATTTTGCGGATTTTTAAAGGATTTTTTAATAATTTCTGGACACCATAGATGGGCAAGGCCGAATCTGTTCCCTTTATTGACGTTAACTGATCCGGTGAGGCCAAGTTTATTGAAGAAGGAAACGGTTGGGCAAAGCCATTGATATGAACTGCCCCTTAGGCTAAATTAGATTAAGAAAACAGCCTGTCTAAAATCAAGGTTAAAGGATGGTTTTTATAGGTTATGAGGTTGGGATTGCAAGTGAGCTTGAGATTGTTAAGTTTGATTCAAAGACGTCTCTCAAATCTGAATACATTC